TTATTAAGTGCCTCTACTTAATAGCTAAACTATTGCTTATGAGCGCAAAGTTATCTATATCATTTTGATATATGGTATATACGAAAGTATATTACATTCTCCCCTCACAAGTGGTTCAGAGTCAGGAACCAAATAATTCCATCTTATTATAATTGATGTGCAGTGTATATTTTGACTAACATCATAACGCACAAAGATGGGTTCTCAAAGTTGAGGAAACAAGTTAGTTTTTCTAACATGGGGGGGAGACAAGATACAACAGTTGAGAAAAAGTTACATGGAATGAATTATCATTTATACATCTAGATCCTCGAATAAAATATGAATTTGAAGTTCATAAAAGGATAATTCATGTGCAATATATTCCAAAGCATGCCAGATGCATTTGCTGACCCAAAGAAGGTAACTATATTCTCACTGCAAATGCTCATATTATAATAAGTCCTAGAAAGACAAAGTCTATGGTACGCTTAAAGCATATAAACAAATCAGTTTCAAATAAACTTCTTGATAAAGAAGATGAGCAAATGATCAAAATAATCATAATAAATGAGGCAAGTGATCTAGAAGATCACAAGACATAACACTTCATAAAATCTTAAGAGAGATTCAGGTACCTGAAAATATGAATGAAGAGATCTCTATGTTATGTCTTTATGAAAAAATATTGAAACTGATATAAAATGTTTGTCGACGACATCTATGATAGCGATAAATATATATATGAGGATCTTAAGTCTGAAGAAACAATTCAAATAAAATTGGTTTCATATGAAAGCCATGTAGTTTTGAACATGTAGTTCAAACACTTGAAAGTATAAAGTCAATGGTATGTGCAATCAGTTTTTGATATCTTATATGTCTAGCATGACATGAAAACTTGATATGCATCTAAAGTCTATTATATGGCTTATATGACTTAACAATCCCTGAAGGAATTAAATTGCTTAATGCATATAGAATTCATGGTCACGAAGTACTACATCCTCAGTGCAATTTGTGCACAAATGTATCTTGCTATAACTATATGCATGATAATATGATAGCAAGAGTTTTCACCTCTATGTGAAGATATTGAACTGACAATTCCAACAAGATCACATGAAGACAATACATCTATCAAGGATGATGATTTCAAGGTGAAACATATTCGTTGAAGTTAATATGGCTGATATTGTTTATCAAATATCTACCAGCGATCTTTTGAAGATGGTGCACAAGATTGGAATGCAAATGCTTAAAGATGTGAATTGATGCTCTCATCAGGGGGAGTTAATACGCGTTGTACTCTTTTTCCCTTACAAGGTTTTGTCCCACTGGGTTTTCCTTGCAAGGTTTTTAACGAGGCAACCAAAAGGCGTATTGTTAGATATGTGTACTCTTTTTCCTTCTCTAGAATTTTTTCCCACTGGGTTTTATTTTAGTTAAGGTTTTAACGAGGCACATTATCTGTTGAATAGACATTCAAGGGGAGTGTTATAAATAGAATTTATTTATGGTGAATGTCTATATTTAGAGAGATTCTAGGGTTCATTGCTTGGTGACTAAGTCACCCTCTCCCTATAAATAGAGGGTTCTATTCTATTGTAATTCATCCCAAAATCAATAAGAATTCTCTCTCCCTATGTTCTCTGCAATACTCTTCTTTCTTCTTTTATTATTTCATAACAGGTCCAACATTTATTTGCATAATTTTTCCCAACTATAAAGCTAGAAAATGATAATAATATCATATTTTTTACTAATTAAATTAACTCGTTTTTTTTTAATTAATTTAAACGCTAGGCAAATAGCAGGTGCGCTTTAACTTCACGGACTCACTTGTGTAGCGTGATGCTTAACATTTAATAAGTTAATTCACCAATTTCGTATCATATTCAATAGTTTTAATTAATTTATAAATCTTTTGTCATAATCGCGGATTCGCTTGCGTGGCGTGGTAGTGACATTTAATAAATTTTCCAAAAAAAAAATGGTTAATTTTTCCTCAAAGCACAATTGTAGCAATTTTTCAAAAGTAAATAACGTGCTAACAATCGTTTGTCATGACTGCGGATTCGCGTGCGTAGCGCGATTATGACAAAAAATCAAATAGAAGTCATCTTGGTCGCACATTCGCTAGCGTGGTGCGGTCAGGACAATTTTATTAAACTTTTTTCTATAATAATTATAATAATAAAAGCGGACATAGGTAAAACATGAAAACCAAATAAAATTACAATTTGTCCATAATTAATTCAAGCCGAGTTTAAGTCAATAAAGCAACCGTGCTAGAACCACGGGACTCGGGGAATGCCTTGTACCTTCTCCCTGGTCAATAGAATTCCTTACCCGAACTTTGTTTTCGCGGACCGATAAAAATAGAGTCGAACCTTCCCTTGACTAAGGATTCAAATAAATGGTGACTTGGAACACCGAAAAATCAATTCCAAGTGGCGACTCTGAACAATAAAATAATCCCTACTCAAGTTTTTGTCACTTTAATTGGAAAAACTCTTTAACCCATACACATATTCTTTTCGGGGGTACAAAAAGGGGTGTGACAAACTTTTGAGAAGATGGTATACAAGATTGGAATGCGGAGACTCAAATATTTGAAACAAGATTTCATCAGGGGGAGTGAAATACGCGTTGTACTCTTTTTTCCTTACTAAGGTTTTTCCTATGATTTTTTCTTGTAAGATTTTAATGAGGCAGCTAGAAATGCGTATTACTAAATATTTGTACTCTTTTTCCTTCATTAGGATTTTTTTTGCTAGTTTTTTCCTAGCAAGGTTTAACGAGGCACATTATCTTTTAATGAACATCCAAGAGGGAGCGTTATGAAAATGTTATATTGTGGATGCCCATTTATTACTCTGCTATAGATAATATTTCCTAAGAAGATTATCCGTTTAGTACTCTATTGAAGTTTATCTACAAGCAGCTGATGCATGCAGGTTGCAAGCAACTCAATAAAATGTTTTGCAGCAGTTTCTTATTAAACATGCAGGTTACGAGTAGCTCATGCAGACAGCTTACAAGCAGCTCAAGAAAAGCCTCGCAGCTGCTTCCTGAAAAGCCTTGCAGCTGCTTCCTGAAAAGCCTCGCAGCTGCTTTCTTTCTTCTATAAATAGAGGAGTTTTCAATTTATTATGTATATCATTTTGAAGTTGAATAGTATATCAATCTCTCTCTATACTTGTCTTCAATTTATTTACTTAACAATCTTTATTTTTAACAATTTCAAAAAATATTTATCATCTCTTTTTATCATATACATGAATGAAAAATTTCATTAAAGATATTCATTTTTCTTAAATTTTATTAAATACATAGTTTTGATAATGTACTTTAATATACAGAGTAATGAATATACCTTATGTATTTTTAAAAATATACATTTAACACCATAGTGAAATGAAAATAGCACTCCAGTTAATATTTATGTAGGATTTATATCATATAGGAGCATAAGTGTTTGATTTTAGAATATATTAGGTGTATCTGTAACTATAACACTATATATGTGTAGATATTTATAATATATAGGGGTGTACATGTTTATTTTATAAAGTAAGGGGTGTATTTGTAACTAAATCATTATATTTGTAATTTGTGTAGATTTCTATAGTACGGAGGGTGTAGCTATACCTGAAGCTTATTTTTTGGTGGGGGGGGGGGTGGGGGGGTGTTTAGGGAAATTTACCATGCTTCTTAAATTCCTATAGTCGAAACCGTTTGACACATTAGGAGTCAGAGGGATAGTGAGGAACTACCATGGCCGGAACGACGGTGAACTCTGTACCGACGGCCGGCGTCAACGTCGGTGTTGATGGCGGAGCTAATTATAGGACGAGCAGCGCATCGTACGTAAACTCGTTCCGCATCTCCGCCGTTGTTGATCGATTAGCTATGCACGTTTGTGCTCAGCCTAAAATTGACCCTCAGGAGTTTGTTCACCTTTGCCTCTCACTTGCTAGGTACTTCTTCTCGAACCTTCTATGCTGTAAACATAAATATGCTACATTTGTAATTGCTACTTCAAATTGTTTAAGAAAGTGTTTTTTGTGCTTAATATCTAGGTTTTTGCTGATTTTTTTTTTTTTTTGAATTTTAGCTCTCGCGTGTTTGCTATTTTGTGGAAATTATTGCATTTTTAGTGTAACAACAACAACAACAACCCAGTAAAATCCCATGGGGTCTGGGAGGTTAGTGTGTACGCAGACCCTACCCCTACCCGAAGGAGTAGATAGGCTGTTCCAAAAAAGACCCTCGGCTCAAGAAAACAAAAAGACAAAAGGAGACAATATACTTCTTAGGTCGCCCTCTACCTCTTCTCGTGTGCTCTCCACAATCAGCCGCTCACACCTCCTTACCGGAGCATCTGGGCTTCTCCTATGAACATGCCCCAACCATCTGAGCCTCGCTTCCTGCATCTTGTCATCAATGGGAGCCACGTGCACCTTCTCCCGAATAACATCATTCCTAATCTTATCCATCCTAGTGTGCCCGCACATCCACCTCAACATCCTCATTTCTGCTACTTTCATCTTCTGGATGCATTTTTAGTGTATTGTGGTTAATATCTAGTTTTTTTCTCATGTTTCTTCTGGAACCTTCTACGTTGGAAACATAAATGGGCTACATTTGTAATTGCTACTTCAAATTGTTTAAGAAAGTGTTTTTTTTGTGTGCTTAATATCTAGGTTTTTACTGATTTTTGTTTTGAATGTTTTGCTGTTGCGCTTTGATATTTTGTGCAAATTATTGCATTTTTAGTGTACTGTGGTTAATATCTAGGTTTGTTGCTGATTCTTTTGTATTTTTAGTGTACTGTGGTTAAAATATAGGTTTTTTCCCCTCATTTTTCTTCTTGAAACTTCTTTGCCGGAAATATAAGTACGCTACTATTGTAAAAAATTTCTGTTATTTTGTATCCTTCTTATAAATACCAATGCTACTAATAAAAAGCAAGTTCCAGTATTGAAATAGAGACATAAGCATAGCTCAAATTCAATTCCTGATATGACCGCAACTTTGTCATATTTTTCCCCAGAAACATCAGCACGCAAGACAACCTTAACCTGGATTTCAGAACAGAAGATAAACATGTTAGACCAACTTGGAACACTTATCATCTTAGTATAGCAACATGTAAACAAAAAGAGTGAACAAAGTAACAAAAGCCGGATCACCTCAGGAAAACCATCCAGATATTGCAACCCAGGATAGGTCTCAATAAGTCCCTCAATGAACTCTGTCACAACATCTGCAAATCATTTCACTTCAGTATCTACAGAAAATAAACACTTAGGCTTTCCGTATACCATATATGACCAATAACACCTATAATAATTTTCACCAGAACCATATAGCATTTAATTATCCCAATATAGATCATACACATAACAGTACCTACATACATATTGAAACAGAACAGGATATCACTCAACTATGCTTCAATTCAAAATTGGTTGTCATCAGCTATATGAACCTTATATATGCATTCTGCACTATTCAGGTCCCTTTCAATACAATACTATTCATTTGTCTTTAATGTAAATTAAGCACAACAACGGGTAGCCCAGCTAAAATATACTAGGGGAAAACGAAACACTAATTCTATGATAACTATTGGAAATTAGTAATTCTATGAATACCTACAAGTGTCTTATTACTATACTCAGTTGCCTTCATTTTCAAGCAGACAAAAACACTATTCTCAGCTTTCTCTTTTCTACTTCCATACTAAAAGATACTACATACACAAAACAATTAAAAGAAGAAATAAAAATCCCTTTCTCAATTTTTCCCTAAATTATACTACTCCCGTTTGATTGACCGCCAAACATGTAAAGCAATGCATATAGACAATATCAAGATACAAAATGCTATCTATTTTATACAGTAATTTTGGGGGGTTTCAGAAGCGGAGTTACCATTGGGGTCGTTGATGAGTTTCTTGCTCTGGAAAGCCATCGAATGTGTGTGTGTGTGTGTGTGAAAATCAAAAAGGAGCAAAGAATCGAGTCACTGATGATTGTACTGCATTAATTAGAAAACCCGAAGGAGAAACCTGAGAGGGCTTTTGTAGGTGGAGAGAGGAGAGTATGAGTTGAATTGTTGAATGCTTTGTCCGAACTAACACAAAAAGAGGGAGATAAAAAAAAATGTTGCGGCTTATTCTTCTTTGTATACAGAAAAATATTTAATATTATCCAATCTACACGAAACTTATTTAAAATTATCCAACAAAAAGTTTGAATCAAAAGATTTTTATCTATTTCGTCAAGTTTTTAGAGTACCTAAGTAGGTGTTTGGGGACATAAACACTGTGATTTTTCTAAAAAAAGTAGTTTTTGGAGTTAACAATATTTGAAATTTAAAATTATATTAGATATGCATCCACTTAAAAAGTATTATAGTTTAGTGAGTGGAAAACATATCTAAAAAATGTAATTACTGGTTTTTGGTTTTTGAAAAACTCATTTTTGAAAATTCTCAAACACTTACAATATTTCATGGACAAACACATTTTTTTTAAGAAACCTAAGAAAGAAAAAAAATCTATAAACTAACGGGTCTGAAGATATTTGGCCGAATTTCTTGAAAATAATGATTGTGAGTAGGACCAGAGAAGTTTTTTAAGACGAAAAATCTGTAGCTTTTCCATGAAAGCATAAGCAAATATAAAATAAGTTTTTCTTCAAAACGAAAAAAATTGCCTACAAAAAAAAAGAAATTAATTTTATCGAACTATTCTTTCTTACTATTATTACTCAAACGTAAAATGAATGGTCGATGATTTCGTAATTTGACACTAAAAGATATGTTTGGAAAGGTTTATCAGTCACAATTTTTAAGTGGTTTAACCAAACAAATAGTTACTCTTCCAACCTAGTTTTGAAAGTCCATTAGAAAAATATAAAGCCATTTAAAAATAGGTTTAAAAAAAATTGACTAGACGTGCACTCACTTTCTCTACAATTAATAAGAAACTCAAGATTCGGTGTTGGAACAGAAAAGAAACCCAAGATTAAGAAGAAACATACAAATATGGATTGTGCCATCACTATTCGAACCGTAAATCAAATCATGAACCACCAAAGAATGCGGTGCAGTGGATGAGACTGCTCTTCCCTTAACCAGACGTCTCGAGTTCGAGCCTTGGATATAGAAAAATCCTTTGTAGGGAGCGGTTCCCCCCGAATGGCCCTATACGGCGCGAATCCGTATATAGTCGGGCTCCAATACAAATACTGGACACCAGATGGAAAAAAAAAAAAAAGTAAATCAAATCATGAGAACTTGTTTTTTCTATTTAGGCCTATTTTTTTTCTGTTTAGGCCTATTTTTCTTACTTTTGCTAAAGATTTGGTGAATAATCAATTAAGAAAGCTTCCTACAATAAGAAAGCAAAGTCGACGTTGTTTTTTATCATCAATCACAATTTGTCGATAAGTTAATATCCAACTATTGCAGTCAAGTATTAAATATTGCTTGAATAAGTACCTTGATCAATATGAAATATGAATGTATTAATGGTATGCTTCTTTATATATAAAACATATTTTTGATAGTTTGTTACCAAGGGTTTGTTAAAGGTGTTAAATTATACTAAACCTAAAGATGGATATTTATTTGTAAAGAGCTTCTTGAGTACTTGAAATAAACTTCAATTATGATTCTATCTTATATTATATATGGGATTATCGTTCAAACCACTTGACCGTGTTTGATGTTTGTGTATATTTAATAATGCACTGGTCAAAATTTATTTACATTATATATTTACATGTTACACTAAGTCAATGGATATTTCTTTTACATACACTTTTTAACATTTAATCATAGTTAATGATATGTATTTTTACTTTGATTTGCTAATGCTAAAATTGTTTAGTTAGGTGTACACATTCATTGTAGATAAATATTTATCATACCAGTTTATCCCATTGCCTAATTGATTCGTGGAGGATACTCATGCTTTTCTATTCCATTTTAAATTATATTACATTATTATTTTACGTTGCTATTTTTAACTAGTTGATTCATGATGATTACATTTGTAGAAGTTCAACCATATTAAAAAATTAATTAAACTTGACCCCAAAAAACTAAATGTGAAAGAAAATCCAATTTTATCCACTAAGATTAATATTTCGTTCTATTCACCTAAATGTGAAATTATAGCTTTTTAAGACTTTCACGGTATGTTTCTGGAATAACTTTTTTTTTTCACCGTCACAAAAATAATGTTGAACTATCAGTTGTATTAAAATTTCAGTACCATATAGTAACTACATTATTCTATTTACCAGTCTAAACTCCAATTCACTCCAATCTCCTCCTCCACCCCCCCCCCCC